AAAACTTACTATTTTTTAAGCTGCCACCACCCACACATTACAGGCTTGTGAGAAACCTTTCTCCTTATACATCTTGTTAGTACATTCTGACTGATGGACATTTTTACAGACCACACATACACCACTCTCACTAGCAGAACAGGTTTGGTTAGTCAGGCAACATTCTAACTTTTAGGGTTAGTACAAACAGTGGTGTACCTAGCATGATTGGCACCAGGTGCAGATACATTTTTTATACCCTCCCTACATAAAAAAGTGATAGGAGGAAGGCAGTGTGGCATGGTCAAATTGTGGGTGCAGTCAAACCCTGGATGCATTCGGGACTATGCGCCCGCACAGATGTCACACTGGGAGCAGCAGCTGTGTCTGTGCAGTCAATCTCTATTGACTTTCACTGGGGCTGCCCTGGTATACACAGGCATCACACAAGGCACAAATGTATATTCCCCCTGTGAAAAAGGTCTAATTTTCATGTTAGTCAGATAGCAAGAAAGAAGACATGTCAGGGATTTAATATTTCTTTCACACAACCTGTCTCTCTGCTCCTGGTTGGCATTACTTGCAATAATTGTTAAATATACCCATGTATGTTGTGATTTTTCTGATCCCAAGCTCACCCTCCAGGGCTCAAGCAGGCTCTTTCTCAGTCCAGGCTTTAGATCCAGGCTCTTTCTCCATGAATCCAGCAGGACCGCCAGGAACCTCCTCTTCAGGAACTCCCTTTCCTAGCCCAGGTCCTCCAGGCACCATTTTCTTAGTATGGGGCTTATTTGCACCCCCTCACCTAGTTCAGGGCCTCCACAATCCCCCTCTCTTAGTCCAGGGCCTCCAGACACCCACTATCCCCTAGTCCAGCACCTCCGGACATCCGACCTGCTAGCCTGGGGCCTCCAAGCACCTCTTCTTCTAGTCCAGGACTTTCAAGCACCCCCTTTCCCAGTTCAGGGCCTCCAGGCACTCTCTCAGCTAGTCTAGAGCCTCCAGGAACCCCCTTTCCTAGTCTGGGGACTCCAGAAATCCTGTTTCCTATTCTGGGGCCTCCAGTCACCCTCTCTACTTGTCCAGGGCCTCCAGGCACTCTCACACCTAGCACAGGGCCTTCAGGCACCCTCTTTCCTAGTGTAGGGCCTCCAAGGTCACCCTCTTTTAGTCCAGGGCCTCAAGACACTCTCTGTCCTAGTCTGGGGCCTCCAGGCACCCCCATTCCTTGTTTAGAAACTCCACTCCACACCCGAGGCCAGTCCATGGCCTCCTCCATACACCCCCCATCTCCTAGTCCACGGCTACCTCCGCACACTCCCCTCTCCTAATCCATGGCCTTCTCGGCACAGCCCCCATCTCTCAGTCCATAGCCTCCTCTGTGCCCTCTTCCTTTCCTAGTCTAGGGTCTCTCCAAACAACCCCCCCTCTTAGTCCAGGGGCCTTCACCACATGAACCCCTTCCTAATATAGGGCTTACAGTTTCAGGAAGTATCTCCCCTTTAAATTTGTGCTGCGGCTGGGCTGCCTCACTTTCTGTCAGGTAAGCTGCACAGCAACATGATGCTGTGTGGGTGGGACTTATGCGGGAGGAGGGTGGCCCCGGAACCTCACAGTGTGCACTAGTACAGAATCACTCCATTCTTTCCACCCACCTCATAGAAAATCATTTTTAAACAACATTGCTGCTACTGCTGTGAGGTGTTGGAGTGACTGTGACTTACCAACCAAATTTACTGGTAACATTAGACTTGATCTGCACTGCCACCCTTAGAGCTATGGTACCACTAGGTACAAGCTGCAGTACCCCCTAGGTACACTACTGAGTACAAATACCCCCTTACACTTTCTGGAAACACATAGGCAGATGCAAATCTTACACGCAATCTGTCAAAATCTGTTGGCTTTGTGGGATCCTAAGTGATTTCTCCACGCCTCTGAGAATCCCCTTGCTATATTGCGGCATGGGGACCAGGTGGGAGCTGAGAGAGGCTGCAAACTGCTTGATGGTGTACACCAGGTCCAACTCTCGTTCCAAGGGATGTCCAGAGCTGTGAAGGTGAGTGACTTTCTCTCCTGGGGGGGGGATGTGTGTTAGTGGAAGGCTCTCTCGGGTGGGTGGGTGCTGGTGGTAGTGGAATTTTGTCCCCTTGTGCTGGTGGTCAGTGGAACTTTGCCCCCTTGTGCTGGTGGTTAGCGAAAGTTCTGTTATTGTTTTTTTCTTTAAGACAAAAGATATTAATGTATGGGTTATTTTTTCTAAACTAAAACCTCAGTATTCGGGTTTAATTGCAGTGTTGTCACTTTGCAATATATAAGTGGGTTTTGGGTTGCAGTTTTGGCACTCAGTCTCTGAAAGGTTCACCATCACTGGTCTAGGGGTATGCTTTTCTGATGCTTTATTGCAGAAATTGAACTTGGATTGGTATAGGGCAGCAATGGGCAAACTACGGCCCGCGGGCCGTATACGGCCCGGCGGACCTTTTAATCCGGCCCGCGGAGCGTGGCAAACATCGGCTGTCAGAATGTGTGTAGGCGGGGCAGCGTGAGGAACGTGAGGGGAGCTAGGCTCCTCTCACAGTCCGCCCTGAAGACCGGAACGGCGCGGGAACACGGCGAGAGGAATGCTCGGAGCAATGGTAAGTGAATTGACACAGGGGGGACTTGACTTACTACTTGGGGGGGAATAGTACTGTGGGGGATGAAATACTATATGAGGGATGAATTAATATGGGGAATGAATTACTATAGGGGGGATGAATTACTATAGGGGGGATGAATTACTATATGGGGGATGAATTACTATGGGGGATGAATTACTATGGGGGATGAATTACTATATGGGGGATGAATTACTATGGGGGATGAATTACTATGGGGGATGAATTACTATATGGGGGATGAATTACTATGGGGGATGAATTACTATATGGGGGATGAATTACTATGGGGGATGAATTACTATATAGGGGATGAATTACTATATGGGGGATGAATTACTATGGGGGATGAATTACTATATGGGGGATGAATTACTATGGGGGATGAATTACTATGGGGGATGAATTACTATATGGGGGGTGAATTACTATGGGGGATGAATTACTATATGGGGGATGAATCACTATGGGGGATGAATTACTATATGGGGGATGAATTACTATGGGGGATGAATTACTATATGGGGGATGAATCACTATGGGGGATGAATTACTATATAGGGGATGAATTACTATATGGGGGATGAATTACTATGGGGGATAAATTACTATATGGGGGATGAATTACTATGGGGGATGAATTACTATATGGGGGATGAATTACTATGGGGGATGAATTACTATATGGGGGATGAATTACTATGGGGGATGAATTACTATATGGGGGATGAATTACTATGGGGGATGAATTACTATATGGGGGATGAATTACTATATGGGGGATGAATTACTATGGGGGATGAATTACTATATGGGGGATTAATTACTATGCTTACTATGGGGGAATATTACTATACTTACTATGGATGACACATACACATCATTCATCTACTCTTGGTCCGGCCCCCGGGTCCAATATATGAACCCATTGTGGCCCTCAAGTCAAAAAGGTACTCCCGCAACATTAAGCAGCAACTTGAGTTGTAAGAATCTGAGCATAGTCCTTGCAGCAGCAAGTATTGAGCTGAGCTGCACTGAGACACCAAGCAAAATGTCCTGGGATCTGTCACACCGGTCTGTACTCACGGTCTGTACTCGCGAATGTTTGTGGGACAGTGGGATGTCATCTTCCAATATCTTCCAGACACCTGTCCTGTGAATTCTTCAGACCAGATCTCCAAAAGAAAGACCCTCAGTTAGCTCAGAAAAAAGGCATAGCTGGGATCTTGATGACCAGCAAACGCATGGCAGGCCATGTTTCAAACATCTTCTCTTGTGCCAACATCCTTTTACAGACAGTTCTATGACTAGGTTATACACAGCAAGAGAGTTATGAGGTATTACCTATTTTCAGATTTTTTTGAACATTGAACTACACATATGTTCAGGGCTGGGTGAAACTTCTCACCTCCAATTACTGTCAGTTGGCATGCAGCCACCAAGTCTACCATGCCCCATGAGTACACACAAGATCTAACAAATCCCTGCTGGGCAAATATACTCATTAAGCATTTGGCCTCCCATGCACACTCTATAGCTAAAATATTTAGGCAGATTTTTAATTAACTTCTAGAAAGTGTTTTTTGAGAATGTCTGAATTACCTTTCCTGTTGCTGAATCGTGACTGATGATTAAACACTGTTATTGACAAACAAAGCAAATATGATGTTTTTGGCCGTATCATGACATCATATTTTGTGAAAAAAAGCAGGCAATTCTTTTTGATGCACAGTGCTTTAGAAAATGAAAGGTTCAGTTAAGGTTTACATGTACTTTAATTTAGCTTTTACCCTTCAATTTATTGGTTTGCAGCAAAGAGAGATGTACAAATTGAGAGAGGGCTGGTGCTTGTGCAAAGAAAGCTTTCCTGACCTGTAAGTTATGCTTCCATGACTCCTCACTTCTATTTTCAGAGTGATTTCACTCTATAATAGCCTTTCCCTACCATGGTTCTATGGAAATCTAAGGTTCCTCTAGAGGTTGATAGGGTTTCCTGATTGAACTCTAATTTGATACTGCCTACGTTGACCCAGGACCAGTGCCACTTTGCAAAGCTAGCAGCATGGCAACAATGGTATTTTTAGCTGCCTGTAAGGGTGGCACTCTGACCACCACCGTAAGAGGGGGCTGTTCTTCCTACTAAGCTCCAACTTAAAGGGCATTTCCTCACTCACCTCCAATGACTTATTTTTAGCAGGGGTTCCCTGAGACCTGAAAATAATTTTAGGAGTTCTCTGGAGTCAAAAGGTTGAGAAAGGTTACTTTAAACAAAAAAATTGAACACAACAAAAAATAATAAGTGAAATGAAAGTTACTTCTGAAAAAAAAAAACATCTCTTTCAGGCAAAACTACACACATTAAGCCCCCTGGCGGTATTCCCGAGTGTAGCTCGGGGTAAAGTTTCAGTACCACAAGCGGTAACCCCGAGCTACACTCGGGATTACCCTGCAGCGTTGCTCCACAATCCCTCAATTACTTACCTTGTCCTGCGCTCCCACGATGTCCCTCCTGCAGTGTCCCCTGTAATGTCCTCCGGCGGATGCCGGCATCTGTCATCTGGGTTCCGTCCCCTGCGATGTCAGGACGTACGGGGGACGGAACTGGTGGGAAATTTGAAAATGACAAAAAGTGACATTCACTAAATTCACTAAAATCACATAGTATAACATTACTGTATCAAACCATTTCACATACATTTTGTCCCTAGTGCTTTGTCCTGTGCCCTGCCTGCATTTTTACCGTTCTTTCTGCCTGGAAACTGAGAAATGTCCATGGCGTCCAAAAAGCGTCCCTTTTGGTAAAAATCGGTTTTATACCAGATAGAGAACAGCGATAGTAAATTATAACCACTTGCAGAATTGAGTGATAATGATTCGTGGGGAAAGTCGTCATCAGACACTGAAAATGATTTGGCGACTTTGCTCAGTGATGTGCGAACTTGTCGCTATATGTCACATTTCAGTGTTTTTGGTTTGATTATATTATTTAATTAAATTTATTATTATTATATTATTATTATTTATGAATATTTATTAAATTATAATTTATGATTTCGTGTTTCAAATTTTATCCTACCCGGGATGTTTACTAGACTCATGTTCGGACAGATTTCAGTGAGTTATTCCTAAAAATCAGAGGCCTACAATAACAAAAAATACATATTTCCATGCAAAAGAATTTACCACTTTGAGCACAGAAATATGGACATAATCAGACCGCTAGGGAGGTTAACCTGTAGTGTTGACTTTATCCTTAGCCAAGTATTTAAGGCCAATTGCACACCAGCAGCTTCCAAGCCCATCCAATCTAAATGTCTGCTTCTCCCCCCCCCCCCCCCGTTCAGGAATCCCAGGTGCTCTATATAGCCACCCATAGGCTTAAAAAATTTCTATTTTTGCATATGGCACATGGTTATATGAACCCTGGAGTATACCCCAATACAGCCACGTGCACCCATTCATGTCTACGGACGGCTGTACACAGAACCTGGGCTTTCCAAGTGGGAGAAATACACCAGGATTTATGTCCTGATGGCCCTGTGCAAAAGGCCTAATTTTATGCTTGTACAGGTACTCATAAAGTCAATACATCTTCAGGCCTACAATACGGTCATTTCCAAGCCCAAAGACAAGACCTGTTGTGGTAGCTTTCATCCCATTTCCTTACTCAATATAGCTATTAAGATTATGGCTATCAGGCTACTTCCTCTTCTCCCACGATGTATTACACTAGACCTAATTGAGATCAAGATTTTTTTCCAGGTTGAGAGGCCAGGGACACTTCCCTTAGGGCATTTTCCTTCATTTCCTATGTTAGAGAACAATCCCAGCCCACCCTGCTTCTTTCCACAGTCGCTGAAAAAGTGTTTGACAAGGTGGACTGGGACTACCCGTTGACCTAGGATGCTATGTTGGATTGTGTCCTTGTATGCCTGCCATAAAGCCCGAATTAGGATTAACGGTTCACTTAGTGAACCATTTATGCTTAATGATAGCACAAGATAAGGCTGCCCGTTGTCGCCATTTTTGTTTTCCATATAATTAAAAACATTTCTCTGCTCAGTCAGGCACAGTGACAACCAGGGGTGGACTGACCATTTGGAAACTTGGGCACTGCCCGTGGGCCCGGGTTCAGTAGGGGGCCCCATGAGATGCCCCTGGTACCTTTTTCATAGGCTTTTTTGAGTTTGGGCAAGGACACAGGGGCCCCATGATCCCCTATTGCCCGGGGGCTCCATGAGTTGTCAGTCCACCCATGGTGACAATATAAGTAGAATTATGGTAGGTGACAGAATTCATAAATATGCAGTTTATACAGATGATATCTACATTCAGCAACCTCGTATCTCATTACCAAACCTAATGACCACCCTTTCCACCTTCCAAGAGTTGTCTAACTTTAAAATTAATGTCGCCAAATCAGAAATCGTGAACATATCCTTTCCCACCTCTGAGGTTAGCTTATGGAAATCACACTTTCTTTTCCGCTGGCAGTCAACTAACTTAAAATACCTAGGGATCCCTTTATCTCCACATATTTCTAGCCTATTCAGACACAATTCTATTCCGCTGTTAAATAATTTTCAAACAAGTCAATATACCCTTTGCAAGTTGAGGACACTAAAGCAAGAAGTAGTATTTCTGAATTTCTCTGTAAATAGTATGCATCTTGTGGTTTCTAATCTTGTTTTTCTTCCAGGGCTGAACGTTAGGTACATAGCTCCTCCGGATCTGGAATGTGTAAGAAATGCCTGATTTGCCAGATTAATCACATAATGCCTCTAAAAATGTCACGTATGCCTTATTCAATTAGGAGAAGGCAGGCTTGTCAATGAAACATGTGAAAGTCTCTAGTGACTGACGAGTCCATTGGGTAAATCAATGTATATCAGAATTTTATGTTTCCTTATTCCACTGTGGATAAAGAATAATGAGGTTGTGATCTGGAAACTGGCATTTGGCATTCTTGGAGGTACCTCATGCAAATGCTATGTATTCCAAAGCAGGTTTCATAAGATAAAAAGTGCTATCAATCCATTTCCCTTCCTTCAATGCCCATCAAATATTGCAATGATTGCCTGGCACATGCTTTAGAACCTTTTTACTTGTAATGAATTTACGCCACTGATTTAAACAGGCCCAGATTTGTACACTGTGCTTACTATCTTTTGCTGTTTAAAGGATTATTTATTAGCAAAATAAACCTATTAAACATGTTTTCCCATGCTTTCTGTGACTTTTGATGCTAATGTCTCAGATATATTGGGTTCATTTACATGTTTGGGAAGCAAAATCCCAGCTCCTTGTACAAACGATAGATCCATGCAGCTGCCCATGGCATACTAATTATACAGTACTACTAATTACTAGATCCGTGCAGCTGTTCCTTCACTTATACATTTTATCATTTTTTGAGTGATTAGGGGTCCATCAAATGAACTGTATAATGAAATATTATCATTGCTATGATCACCTGGGCTTATTTAAAACATATGTGTATTTCAAAGCTTCATGTACTACAGGCATTTAGCTCCTTTGCATGAGATTCAAGCATTCTCATGCAGGAGGAAGACACAGGTGCACCATATAGCCCTGTTGTCGGCAGCATGTGAAACTCCACGAGAGACTGAAAGCTGCTGTGGCTAGACAAGGCTAGATGGTGCACCAAGTGGTACTAAACGTAATGAAGGAAATAGTAATATGGAGTTAAAGTGATAATAAAGGCAATTCTTTAATTAAAAAAATATCAAACGTCATACTTTCCTGCTCAGTGTAATAGTTTTGCACAGAGCAGTGCCGATCCTTCTCTTCTCAGATCTACTGCTGGAGCTCCTGGTCCCTCCTGCCTGCCTAATGCCCCCAGAGCAAGCAGCTTGCTATGGGGTCACATAAGCAGGCTGTCTACCAAGCCGCTGCTCTGTGTGTCCATTTACCACATAGCCATGGCTCGGCCCCATCCCTGCTCACTCCCTCATTGGCTTACTGGCTAAGATTGACAGCCAATGGCTCCTGCTGCTGTCTTAGCCATTGAGGAGGGAGAGCCCCCAGAGAGCCGAGGCTCTCATGCACATCACTGGATCGCGATGAGACTCAGGTATCAGGGGGGGCTGAGGGTCTGCTGCACACAGAAGGCTTTTACCTTTATGCCTAGAATGCATGAAGGTAAAAAACCTTGATCCTTTACAGCCACATATCAGCGTATATACAGGGAGTAGCACATGGTGTACACATATCAGCGTATATACAGGGAATAGCACGCGGTGCACGCATATCAGCGTATATACAGGGAATAGCACGCCGTGCGCGCATATCAGCATATATACAGGGAATAGCACGTGGTGCACACATATCAGCGTATATACACGGAATAGCACGCCGTGTACACATATCAGCGTATATATAGGGAATAGCACGCGGTGCCCACATATCAGCGTATATACAGGGAATAGCACGCAGTGCACACATATCAGCGTATATACAGGGAATAGCACGCGGTGCACACATATCAGCGTATATACAGGGAATAGCACGCAGTGCACACATATTAGCGTATATACAGGGAATAGCACGCAGTGCACACATATCAGCGTGTATATACAGGGAATAGCACTTAGGCCCCTTTCACACGGGCATTCAGTTTTTTTCATTAGTTCATTTACGTTTTTTCCAAGAAAAAAAAATGATCAGTTCACATAATTTTTCAGCAGTTCACATCAGTTTTTCATTCATTTACATCCATTTTCATATATTTACATCTGTTTTCATCCATTTACATTAGTTTTTTTGTCTGTTTACATCCTTTTACATCCATTTTTCCTCTGTTTAAATCCGTTATTTCGTATATGTTCCGGGTTTTTTTTTTAACAGAAGAAAAATAGGGGTTTCTTCCGTTCAAAAAAAACGGATGTTAACGGATGTGGACATTAACAGATGTAAACAGATGATCATCCGTTTACATCTGTTAGTCCATAGAAATACATGGGTGTCCGTTTTTCATCCGTAAACAGATGGAAAAGGGACATATGGAATGCTCGTGTGAAAGGGGCCTTAGTGAGAGATATTGGGGGTCTAATAGTACCTGTCAGTTGCCCATGATATCTTGATGAGGCTTGAGTGTGGGCGGCGACATAGGGGGCCCTGTGATCTCCTATTTCCCGGGGGCCCCATTAGTTGTCAGTCTGCCCCTATTCTGGTCTGTTCACTTTGTTGCCATTGAAGGTAATTCACAGTTTTATTTCACTCAGATCTGTCTCTTCAATGTATACCATTAACATAAGTCGGTATATTTGACCACAGACACACTATTTTACTGATCATACCACATACAGCAATGGTCTGTATATACACTAAAGATCTGCTATAGATGACATATTTCCCCAGATGTACTTTATAGCCTGTGGGTATACAACCTTGCAATCTCCTTTTAGGTTGAACACACACAATACAATCAGGTTGCACATTACTTCTTGGACCCACCGCCAATACAATTGATCATTTGAATTGTACCCCATAATTCATAAGATTTTAAAGACTGGGCAGTTTGTTCAGCGATTGGGCAGTCAGATCATACAGTGTATGGCTCCTATCAGCTCCCTGGATATATTATTCATTTCTAAATGTTTATCAGTGAAAGGGCTAAATTGTTTTTTTTTTTTTACTTGTTTTACGATTGTACAATCAGATTGTATAATGTATGG